TGACAAGACTAAGGAAGAGAATGAATTGGTAAAGGCCCCTAGTGTTACAGAAATACCATGTACTACTTATGAAGAACTTGGACTAAGACTGTTGGCAATAAATTTGGGACTTGTTGGGCCCACATCCCCAGGGGTCTCCCCACCAGGGAAAGCACCAAAGCCCCACCGACACAGGGCAGTCCCAGGGAAGGCAAGCAGCGAGGCTGGGAGGACATAACCTTTACTGGGTAGGATAATCTCCTTCAGTCACTTCCTTGTAGCTTATCAGTAGAGCAGTGACCTTGGAATAGCCCTTATAATGGAACACAGAGATTAACCTAGACAAGATTAAAATCAACAGAACTAGATAGAGACAGGATTTTTGGCAAAGGTCAGATAAGAAACAAGAAACTGTAGAACGTTACCCAAAACATACCATGATGTGATTATAGAGGCATGCTTATAGGATCAAATGATATAAATACAGATGTAACAGGACAATAGAGAGAGAACCTGGCTACGATGATCAACTGAACGCTGCCTCCGTGTCCTTCCTTCTTCGCCGACTCCGTCCACACCTTTGGGAACCCCTGGAACTGCTGGGGATGGACCCCAACAATATATTTTTAAAAAGTAGTCCTCCTCTCACCATCCCCTCCTCTCATGAGCCCCCTCCTCAACTCCAGGCTCCTTCCTAGCAAGGTTGTGGGGACTTGGATCTGGATTTCAGGGTCTGCCTGAATGCCCCTGAGGAGGGGTTTTCTGACCCCCTCTGACATTCACCTCCACTCCTTGGATTCAGGGACCTGATAACCCCCTTTCGCAGCCCTGTGGCTGGAAAGTTTAAAATAGGAGGATCAAAGCTGTATGGTTACAATTTGTGCACTTTCAGTATCTATGTGTACCTCATTGACAAGTTTTACAGGAAGAGAAAGAGCATCAGGAGTTTAAGGGAAAATGTAAACCATTACCTATCACCAGATCTAGGACAAGCTCCTCTTAACCTCAGTCTGAGTCAGGTGTCACTTCCATGGGCCCCCATGGGCCCCTGTCTTACTCTAGCTTATATGCTGACATGTCTGTCTCACCCATGAGAACTGTCCTGTCCAATACTAGCCACCAGCCCCATGTAGCTGTTTAAATTTAAATAAATTTAGCCCAGCAGGTGTAGCTCAGCAGTTGAGCATCGACCCAGGAACCAAGAGGCCGCAGGCTCGATTCCCAGTCAGGGCACATGTCCGGGTTGCAGGCTCGATCCCCTGTGGAGGGCATGGAGGAGGCAGCCAATGACGTTTCTCTCTCATCGATGTTTCTATGTCTCCCTCTCCCTTCCTCTCTCTCTAAAATATCAATAAAAACATATCGTTTAAAAATAAAATAAAAAATAAATAAATTTAAATGAAGTTAAAAACTCACTTCCTCAATTGTGCTAGCCACATTTCAAGTGCTCAACACCCACATGGGGCTCGTGGAGACCGCCTGAGATAGTGCAGATACCATTTCCACATCGCAGAAAGTTCTAGTCAAGCACAACACTTCACGGAGCTGTGAGCTTCAGGAAGGCAGAGACCGAGTCTGTGTGGCCTGGCACTGCATCCCTGGGCCCGCAGGCCCAGCTCTGATGCTAAATACCTACCAGCTGATTGAATTAATTAGGCCCCCGCCCCCCCCCCACACACACACACACTGCACCAGGCCCCCAAACACCTCTGGTACCTGCCTCTTCCTTACTCGCCTACCTCCAGGGCCTAACCCAGGTCTCATGGTCTCTTTCCTCCCTCCAAACCATCTCTGGTCTGTGACTCAGGGTCCCAGAGGCATTGTAAATGTGTGTGTGTGTGTGTGTGTGTGTGTGTGTTGGGGAGTAGGAGTAGAGAAAGGATTGGTAGGGCAGGAGGTGATTCCAGGCCATAAGAAGTTCAAGTTTGAGCCTCTGGCAATGGCTGCTCCTATGCAGTGGGCGGGGACCTAGGCTTTGGTTGAATTCTGGTTGTGTTTCCTCCCAGCTGTGTGACCTTGGGCAAGCAACGTAACCTCTGTGAACCCACTGTATGTGTTGTTTCCTCCTTGTGATATATGGATAACAATACCTACTTCACATATGTAGTGAGTACATTAATAAGAGGTCTGGGGCTCCGTCGAAACTCACTTATTGCTCATTCCTTTCTCTACATAGAAGGCAGTAAAATTCCTTCCTCAAACATCATTGAGATCACGGCTCTGAGACACCTGCTTGCTTCCCACTTATCCTACACAGGAGGCTAAATATAACTCCTGACAGCTCATCTTGCCTTAAAGCAAGAGGCTTGTCATTGCTTCCACTGTTCTTAAAGGTACTTGGCTCACCTTCCGTCTGCCAGCCAGCTAAGTTTGTTTGGTTTCTCTTCCCCACCTTCCTATCATAGTACATGCCTGAAATGCCTTTCCTGCCCTCTCTTTCCAAAGACAGGCCCTACCTTCTCAGAAGCAGATTTGTTCATAACACTCACTTCCTCCCGTAAGCCTGGTTGACTCAACTTCCCTAGTTTTAAGATTGCTGATTACTAAAAAATATATCATGCCTGTTTCAGCCTTCACCCACTCCTTTCTGCTTCTCTTCATGACTATGATGTAAGACCATACCTGACCTATCTGCACCTGTTGGCACCTGTCTTCCCGGGTAGCTGGCTGTACACATGAGTGTGTATAGAGCAGGAAGCAAAAGCAGGTGGTGACCAAAAAAGGCTGTTGGTGATATGGGAGGGCTGGACCAGACCAGACATAGGTCCCAATTGGTCACTATGTTGGTGACATTTAGCAAGTTACTTAATCTTTCTGAGTCTCAATTTCCTTGCATATTTGTCACAAAAATTGGAAAATTACTACTATTACTATTTACTGAGCCCTCACTCAGTGTAGGCACTGTTCTAAGCACTTTACATACATTATTTTATTTCCTCTTCACTCCAACCCTAGCAGGTAGGTATTATAAAAAGGTGTGGAAGCCCTACCTGGTTTGGCTCAGTGGATAGAGCTTCAGCCTGTGGACTGAAGGGTCCCAGGTTCGATTCAGGTCAAGGGCACATGCCAATAAGGGGTGTGCAGGAGGCAGCCGATCAATGATTCTCTCTCATCATTGATGTTTCTATCTCTCTCTCCCTCTTCCTCTCTGAAATCAATAAAAAATATCTTGTTTTAAAAAATGGTGTGGAAGAAATATAAAGAATTCAAAGCCATACTTTCTTACCCAAATGTGATTTACAAACATATATATGTCACATGGACATACACTTCTCAAAAATACATCACACACACATACACATTGTCACCTTGAACCCCATGAAGGTTCCACCAGGAAACCTTCCTGAACTGGTCCAGGCCACACAAATTCTCCCATCCCTAAATGCCAACAGTACTCACTATTAGGCCCAGCCAAGCCAGCCCTCACCCTCTGTGGTGTTTTGTTCATTCTTTCAAATAAGTATCCAATAACTCCTAAGAACTAGGGCTAGGTATTGAAGAGGCAAGACCAAACATGTTGCTCCTGTCCTCCAGGAACTCTGAATCTGATAGGAAAGGCTGGTGTACAAACCAAGTAGGCCCAGGGTATATAAGAACTATCTTAAAAAAAAAAAATGTTTCTATTGATTTGAGAGAGAGAGGAAGGGAGAGGGATAGAGATAGAAACATCAATGAGAGAGAAATATCGATTGGCTGCCTCCTACATGCCCCCTACCGGGGATCAAGCCCACAACCTGGGCATGTGACCTGAGTGGGAATTGAAATGGTGACTTCCTGATTCATGGGTCAACACTCAACGACTGAGCCATACCAGCCAGGCTATAAGCACTATCTTTAACAACACATACGAAGGTCTTCTAAATCAGGCGGGGGTATTTTGGAGAACTTCCTGGGGGTGACATTTAAGTTGAATCTATAAGATGAACAGGAGTTACCTAGCAAAGGAAGGAGGGTCAAGAAGAGGGAATAGGTAATATGTTTGGGAAACTACAAGTAGTGCAATCGGCTGTGATGAAGACTTTTTAACAGGGACAGGCAGGACATGAGGCCAGAGGGGCAGGGCCCAAGTGCCAAAAGGCCTATTGTGCTAACCTGAGAGATCCAAAGTCTGTCCTGAAAATTTGTCAGGAGCCATGGAAGACTTTTAGGCAGAAATGTGACATGATCAAATCTGCATTTTAGAAAGACTGATCCAGCAACACAGAGGATGAACTGATCATAGAGGGGACAAGGTGGAGATGGGGAAACATTGAAAAGACATTCAACAATCCAGGGAAGAAATGAGCTTAAATTCTCAGTGCAGTGGGAATAGAGATGGTATTTAAGAGATACTGTATTAAGGAAAAGTGGTGGAGGGAATAGTGCCATTCACACTATAATAGGGAAACATAAAAGCCAAAATTCAGCCTGGTTGGAGGAGAGGCAATGATACCTTTTGACATTTGGGGTTCGAGGTGTCTCTGGGACGCCCGTGTAATATCTAGTAGGGTTTTGAATCTGTAAAGCTTGCAAGACATCTGGGTTGGAGATATAAGTTGGAATAACATCAGCTTACGGGTAGCAATTGAAGCCATGCGTGTGGGTGAAGTCACCCAGGAAAAGTGGGGTCAGAAGACCTGGTGGGCCCAGGACAGAGCTCTGGGGAGCTCCAACTCCTAGCAGTTGAAGGCTTGATTTGTGAACGTTCTCCTGGTAACAGTATGTAAAGTGAAAAGGGGGTGAAGAAAGGGCCTGAAGATCGCCAACTTTTAGGGGAGAAGGGAGGGGCAAAGGTGCCGGAGGAGAAATCAGGAGAGAGTGTCAAGTGGAAGGAAGTCAGTAGCGTCAAACGCTGCAGAGGTCATGGAAGATAAGGACAGGAAACTCCATCCATTAGATCTGGCAACTAGGAGGTGTGGGCATGTTTCTCTGCTGGAGAGAAACCTCTTCGACTGAATTGCTGTTAGCGTAGCTGACAGGAAGGACAGTGCCCGCTGCCCTCATGCGCAGGCCACAGCCGCGCATGCGCACTCGTACTCACCGGAGGGCTAAGACTTGGCAGTGTGGGACCCCGCGCACGCGCCTTCTGAGCCCACCTACTCAGCTCGGGCCTCCGCGGGCCTGCAGAGGGCGCTGCGCCTCGGAGAGCAAGACATCTGGGTTGGAGCGCCGCTCTAGCCAGCGTCCGAGCTCGGTGGCGGGTGCCGCTGCTCCACGTCCCCCAAGCGGCCTCCCGGCGCAGGTGGGTCCGCCCGCGGGGGGCGAGAGCGCCTGGGAGCTGTGGGGAGGGCGGGCGACAGAGCCTCCCGGCGCGGAGTGGTTCCGATCGCCTCCATGCCTGGGCTCGGATCTAGCCCCGGGGGATTGGGCTGTAGGCAGGGCCGCACCGGTGCAAGTCCCAGTCCGGTGGGCAACTCCTCCTGGACGTGCAATGGCCGTCCAGAACCCCTTACTTTACACCCCGGGGGGGTCTCTGCCCAGGCCCGCGTGCGGCTTCCGGGAGACAACTGGGGGCGGGGCTCCCATGATTGACACTTCTTCCCCCAGGTTTCACAGGCGGCCACTGGACCCCTCCGGTCTTGAACCCTGAGCCGACACCATGGTGAGAACCCTGAGCCCAGCCGCTCACCTCAGCACGCCCATGCCTTTGCCCCTAGTGGCCTTGCCTCTCCATTTCCCTGTGTCAACCTGGGGCTTTGCAGTGGGTTTTCGGTGGCTCTGCCCCTGCAAGCCAGCCTGCTCCCTTCCAACCCGCCCATCCCTGTAGCACGGGCGCCTGAAGGTGAAGACTTCGGAAGAGCAGGCGGAGGCCAAAAGGCTAGAACGGGAACAGAAGCTGAAGCTCTACCGGTCGGCCACCCAGACCGTCTTCCAGAAGGTGGGGCCCGCAGAAGTAGCCCTCTCTCCACGTGGCCACTCCTAGTATATAGATCAGAGGCCAAGAGCTGGGCCTCAGAATCAGACTGTCTGGACCTATATCTGGGCTCTGTCACTTAATACTGTGTGACCTTGGTTGGGCAAATTACCGAATCTCTTTGGGCCTCAGGTTTGCTCATCTGTAAAATGGGACGCATGATTGTGATAAGCCTAATAATTGCAATAAGGCTTTTGTGGAAATTAAATGAGAATACATGTAAACCCGTGGAGTGCTTTACATACTACCTGTTGTATGGCATGTGATTTATGGAACGTAGTTCTGTTTATGTTGCTTAGCCCTGTGGTAGGTGAATGATACCATCTCTGACCCTGCTACCTATCTTCTCAGCGCCAGGCTGGCGAGCTGGATGAGTCAGTGCTGGAACTGACAAGCCAGATTCTGGGAGCCAACCCTGACTTCGCTACCCTCTGGAACTGTCGACGCGAGGTGCTCCAGCGGCTGGAGGCCCAAAAGTGTGTAGGGGTTCAGGGCCCCGGGAAGATGACACTAGCCCTACCCCGCCCTGCCTGGGCCCAGCGGTAGAGTAGGAATGGCATAACCAGAGGGCCGTGGAGGATGGGTGCAGAAAGTCAGGGGTGAGCTGAAGTTGGGTGTCGGAGGGCCCTGATCCCTATTCCTCTCTGGGCGCAGGTCCCCTGAGGAGTTGGCCGCTCTGGTGAAGGCAGAACTGGGCTTCCTGGAGAGCTGCCTGAGGGTGAACCCCAAGTCCTATGGTACCTGGCACCATCGCTGCTGGCTGCTGAGCCGCCTGCCAGAGCCCAACTGGGCACGGGAGCTGGAGTTGTGTGCCCGCTTCCTCGAGGTTGATGAACGGAACTGTACGTGCCTGCAGATTCTGTCCCTACAGCCCTCACCTGCCCCACATCCTGGTACTGGGGCCTCAGTAAGGCCCAGAGTGGGGAGGGATGACCAGGATGGGCCCATTAAGCTGATGGCAAAGGAATGATGGATCCAAACAGCGTGGGATGCATAGAGGTCTTTCCTGGGACCTTTGAGGGAACTCCAGAGGTACCAGCCAGGGAGCTCCTCTTGCCCTGTTTCTGAGCTGTGCTGTAACCCCTTCCCCCAGTTCATTGCTGGGACTACCGGCGCTTTGTGGCTGCACAGGCAGCTGTGCCCCCTGCAGAGGAGCTTGCCTTCACCGACAGCCTCATTGTTCGAAACTTCTCCAACTACTCTTCCTGGCATTACCGCTCCTGCCTCCTGCCCCAGCTTCATCCCCAGCCAGACTCTGGACCACAGGGGCGCCTCCCTGAGGATGTGTTGCTCAAAGGTAAGCAGGGTCAGGGGTGCTGGGGAGGAACTGCAGCGCTGCCCTTCCAGCCTAGTCCTGTTCCTGAACCTGCTCTTGGGTTTGTTGAGCTCCTACTTCGTGCCTGGCTCTGGGGGTGCATAACATTCAGCCCCTGACAGAAGGGAGCTTGAGTGTCCAGTGGGGAAAATAAACCTGATGTGTACAGCCGCTGTACAAAGCCAGCATCTAGTGCAACTGAGGACTGGGGGTACTCCAAGGAGAGGGTGGGATGCTGGGACAGCCAGGATCCCACCAGGCTCCTAACCACAGCCCTGTGCCTCCTTGGCTTCTGCAGAGCTGGAGCTGGTGCAGAACGCCTTCTTCACCGACCCCAATGATCAGAGCGCCTGGTTCTATCACCGCTGGCTCCTGGGACGAGGTGAGCGGTGGGGGAGGAGGCTGGGTGTTTAGGGCTTGGAAGGAATGGAAGAGGATTACAGGAGACCTGAAGCTATCTCTCCACCCCAGCTGACCCCCAGGATGCTCTGCGCTGCCTGCACGTGAGCCGGGATGAGGCCTGTCTGACGGTCTCCTTCTCTCGGCCCCTCTTGGTGAGTCCTACAGCTTTTGCCAGAGAACATTGTGGATTGTGAGCTTCGTGCTGTTGGGCTGACAGGGTCTCTCTTTGTCCCCTGTGCCAGGTGGACTCTGGGATGGAGACCTTGCTGCTCTTCGCTGATGAATCACCCCTGGCTGTGGAGTGGAGGACTCCAGATGGCAGGAACCGGCCCAGCCCTGTCTGGGTATCCCAGGATTGGTGGGGCATAGTGGGGGCTGAGGCAGGGCTGGGGTGGGACAGTCAGAAAAGTGGTACGGCTGGGGGTTTCCTTGACCCAGTGCTCCCAGCTCTGTGACCTGCCCGCTGCCTCCCTCAACGACCAGTTGCCCCAACATACATTTCGTGTCATTTGGACAGCAGGCGATGTCCAGAAGGAGTGTGTGCTCTTAAAAGGTGACGCAACCTGCAGCAGCCCCCTGCCCCCTCTTCCTCTCATGGGTGTTCCCCTCCTACCACCTACTGTTTCTTTCAGGCCACCATGAGGGCTGGTGCCGGGACTCGGCCACCGATGAGCAGCTCTTCAGGTGATGACAGGGAAGCACGCCTACAAGAAAGGGCTCTGGGCATCAGGCAACTGGGATGGGAGGCAGGGTGCTCTGGCAGATGGTCTCAGCCTGGAGAGGGGGATGGCCCAGACCCCAGTGCTATGGCCATCATCCCTTCCCCACCTCCACCCCCGCCCACCGTCAGGTGTGAGCTGTCGATAGAGAAGTCCACGGTGCTACAGTCTGAGCTTAAATCCTGTAAGGAGCTACAGGAGCTGGAGCCTGAGAATAAATGTGAGGCCCTGTTTCCTGAGATCCTGCTCCTCTCAGGGAGCTCCTTTCTGTGTCTGTTGGGGGGACAGGGAGCAGGGAGGGTCTCAATAGTATGGGAGCAGCCCTGACCGGTTTGGCTCAGTGGGTAGAGCACCGGCCTGCGGACTGAAGGGTCCCAGGTTCGATTCCAGTCAAGGGCATGTACCTTGATTGCGGGCACATCCCCAGTGGGGAGTGTGCAGGGGGCAGCTGATTGATGTTTCTAACTCTCTATCCCTCTCCCTTCCTCTCGGTAAAAAAATCAATAAAATATATTTTAAAAAAATAGTATGGGAGCGAAGGCGGGTCCAGGAGAGATGCTCCTTTTCCCACCCTCTGCTCAGGGTGCCTGCTCACCATCATCCTGCTGATGCGGGCGCTGGACCCCCTCCTGTATGAGAAGGAGACACTGCAGTACTTCCAGACCCTCAAGGCAAGCCGGGCCTGCGGGAACAGACAAGGGGGAGGCCCCGTGGGCAGGAGGGAGGCAACTGACACAAATTCCTTGCTGGCCTCATCTCCGCCAGGCTGTGGACCCAATGCGGGCAGCATACCTGGACGACCTGCGCAGCAAGTTCTTGCTGGAGAACAGTGTACTCAAGATGGAGTATGCAGAGGTGCGCGTGCTGCACCTGAGCCACAAGGTATGGACTGTGCGTGTGCCTGCTCTGGGCCCTCATCCCGCTGGCCCACCCTTCCTCATGGCCTCGCCAGCTTTTCCGTTCATTCCGGGGCTTCAGCTGAGGCCTTGTCTGTCCGGCTTTCAGTCTCAGATGCCTTTCTGGACATTTCTTTCTCTGCTCATTGGAGCAGGCCAGCACCTAAAGCCTGAACAGTTCCCAGAGATTCCTAACTAACGGTCCAGACTGGTTTTCCTCTATTTGAAGTCCTTCCCAACCATTCTTCCCAACACACCAGTTTTTATCCCGTCACTGCAGTCCACCTCTGCTCCCACCAAACCCCCCCCCCCCCCCCGGACTCGCCAGGCCCACTCCTGCCAGTGTCTGTGTCTCCCCCAGCGCCCTCCTCTGTCCCCTGTACCTGCCCCGACTCTATTCACTCCACTGGCCACGTCGCCCACAGCACTCACGTCTGTCCCACGTCCTTGACTTGTAGCATGTACTGTGGTGGGTTGTAAGGTAAGCTTCCCACCTGCCCCATCCTCTCCTCAGTTGCGGTCCCCAAGGGCCTGTGTGGGGCACAGAGGGCAAGTGCCTCATAAATGATGGCTGAGGCCCCTCCCCGTTGGGGATATCATTCCGTCTCCTCAGGACCTGACGGTGCTCTGCCATCTGGAACAGCTGCTGTTGATCACTCATCTTGACCTGTCGCACAATCGTCTCCGAGCCTTGCCCCCTGCCCTGGCTGCCCTGCGTTGTCTTGAGGTAAAGCATTCACTCCTCCGTCACTGTCCTGGTGTTCCTGTTTCCCTTCCTTCCTCTACTTCAGAAGCCTGCCCTCCCTACAAAGACTGCCCAGTCCTCCCAGCCCCTGCAGATGACCCCTGCCTTCCCCCTTCTGTCACCCAGCCTGACCCTAGGAGCTCTTCCGTGCACCGTGAGCTGTCCACCCTGGGCTCCCCAGTTGCTTGTATCAGTCTCAGGCCGATAGCTGCCTGCCTGCCTTCTCTTCCCTACCCTCCCTGCTCCTCAGGTGCTGCAGGCCAGCGATAATGCCATAGAGTCCCTGGACGGTGTCACTAACCTGCCCCGGCTGCAGGAGCTCTTACTGTGCAACAACCGTATCCTTCCTTCTAGGTGCCATTTATTTATTTATAGTATGATTTTTAACAAAGCATTTTTTTCTCCTCATTGCACTTTCACTCAGCAGTCTTTGTTCACTGCTGAGACATGGATGCCTCTAGCCAGGGCTAGCCTTCTCCTTGGCCACAGTCTCCACCATTCCTTCTAGTACCACACCCAGCCCTCCTCTGTGCTTCTTGCCTGGTCCCTGTGGGCAGGTGTTTGCAGTCCCTGCCCAGAGCCTTACTCCCTCCAGGGAAGTGTGCGAGCTGCCCACCAACCAGGATGGCAGGCAGCAGTCCCCGCTCTTGAGGGAAAACAGTGATGGGTACTCGGGAACAGACCAGATCTAGGGGAACCTGCCAACCTTTCCTTGACTCTCCTGCCCAAGGTCTCCAGCAGCCTGCAGCACTTCAGCCTGTTGCCTCCTGCCCCAAGCTGGTGCTCCTCAACCTGCAGGGCAACCCACTGTGCCAAACAGTGGGCACCTTGGAACACCTGGCCGAGCTGCTACCTTCAGTCAGCAGCATCCTCACCTAAGAGACCCTGCCCCCGTCCTTGCCCTCTAACTTATTAGGACTGAATAAAGAATGGAGAGGCGTCTCAGGCTGCTGAGCTGCTGCTGCTGCCACCGCTGCCACCACCATGACTGCCACCTTTCAGAAAAGAAAGGGAGAGAGTTAGGGTGTGTTGACTCACCCTGTTTATTTTATGCTCGGTCCTGCTATTCCCTGTCGTGGAGAATCAGAGCCTCCGTGTTTAGGCGAAATCAGGGTGAGGGCTGGACTTGAATTTACTTTCTGGTTGGGGCTGGAGCTGGGGCTGGGTTCCAGGCTGGGACCAGGTTTAGGATCAGGTTCTGATTGGTGTTAGGCTACAAACAAGCTCTAAGTCTCCAAATGGAAGGACTCATAAAAGTCCCTTCCATGACCCCTGCCCCTCCCAGATGCGCTCTGCCCAGGGGCTCTGGCTCTCATTCACCACAGCTGAGAAGGCTATTTCCCAGAGGAGTGGGTCAGAGCGGCCTTGCTCCACCCTCTTAGAACAACAGTATCCGTCTCCATTCTTTGGTTGAGGAGCCACTGAAAATACTTGATCCCATTTGATCTTCATAAGCTCTCAGAATGAGATGATTAGGCCCATTGGACTGGCGAGGAAACTGCTGTTAAGACGTGCCCACGATTGCTGAGCTCAAGTGCTAGAGCAGCGGTTCTCAACCTGTGGGTCGCGACCCCTTTGGGGGTCAAACGACCCTTTCACAGGGGTCGCCTAAATACATCCTGCATATCAGATATTTACATTACGATTCATAACAGTAGCAAAATTACAGTTATGAAGTAGCAACGAAAATAATTTTATGGTTGGGGGTCACCACAACATGAGGCACTGTATTAAAGGGTCGCGGCATTAGGAAGGTTGAGAACCACTGTGCTAGAGCCAAAGCTGCCTGTACACCTTGCTCTGGGATTCCAGACTCTTGCTTCTGTATGGATATGGATATGGATACGGTACTGAGCCCAGTGTCCGCTCCCATGGTGACCCCCAATACACAGGCCCATGCACACATGTACCCTCGTGCATTTACACTCTCACACACACACCTTGTCCCGACTGAAATCCCTGAGACACTTGAGCTTCCTGGAGGGAGGAAAAGGAGTGGCTTGGGTTAGGGCACTGAGTCAACCTGGCTGGGTGGGGAAGGAGAAAAATCGATTGAAACAAGGGGGAGAGAGTGTGACAAGACAATTTCCTGATTCCCTGGAAATCTATCTGGGCCCACCTTTGCTCACATCCGGCCCTCAGGGCCCCGCCCCTTTCCTTACCTATAGTGATGAACAAATAGCCCCTGGACAAAGTCCTTTGGCTGACCTGCCTCACATCTGCCTGGGATTTTGATTCCACTGGTGGTTTGTCTGAAAGTGTTGGAGGTGGGGCAGACTCCCTGCAGGGCTGGGGCTTGAAGGTGGGTTGAAAAAGGTCAGCGTGAGTGTGGAGAGCTCCCTGCTTCTGTCCCCACTCCCTGAGGCACCTCCCTGCCTGATGCATCATCAAACCCAGTCTCTCCTCGATTGACTTCCTTGTGTCTTCTTGCCAACCCTGTCTTCACTGTCTTCTGTTCAGTGGCTGGTGGGCAGAGCTGGGACACAGGTGGGATGGAGGGAAGAGGCCCCAAGAAAGGGGCCCAACCTGCAGAACCTCCAAGAAAGCCTCCCTGAAGACACCTGGCCGCCTCTACCGGGTGTCTCCCCTGTGCCAGGGTGGAGTTGGGATGGACACGGGGCAGGTTCCTAGAGCTGGTTGGTCAGGATTCCCAGGAAGAATTCAGGGTTGGAGAACCCAGGACTCCAGCTGACCAGACACTCCTCTCAGTGAGAGAGGGAGGTATTCTGCCGCCTGGGGAGGGGGCCTCAGTTCTCACCCAAACCTCAGAATAAGGCCTCCGCTTCCCCCAAACCCCCAGGCCGAGGGGAGAAAACTACTCTCACCACCCTCCAATCCCAAACTTGGAGAGAGAGACGCAGGAAGCTGGTAGCTGCCCACTCATGCCAGGGGCCGTGGAGGAGGAGGGTGGGGGTCAGAGGATCTGGTGGAGCCTGCAGGTCATGGATTGGCTGGTGGAGCCAGTCTGAGGGCCCGGTTGCTGATGTCACCTTGGGATTCAGGGACCTCCCTGGGCAGGATGCATACCAGGACCAGGCCAGTTTCATAGGGGCTATGAGACCACCGGCAGGCAGCCTGAGCTGGACAACAGGGGGTCAGCTGGACGGGGGTGTGCGTGAAAGGGCTCCCTGCCCCATTGCCCTCGGAGGGGCTCCTTAAGCTCGCAGTCTGGCAGGAGTCAGCCTGGAGTGACAGTCCCCCCAAAGCCTTCCACTTTCCCCCAGCTTCAGCCCCGACAGACCCCGACCCCACCCCTCCTTGCCCCACCCTTAGCCTGCACCACCCCATTTCCCCGGAACGAGGTTTTGACGGGGCTTTACTTCTCACCCCTACCTCCGGAGGGGCTGGGCCTCAATGGAGCAACCCAGCTTCCCCTTATTAGTAGCCGGCCCCGCCCTCCCCCCACATAAACCACTCACCCGCCCGCCCCACA